AACCTGATCGGTGCATCCCTACTTAAGACTCCATTTTTATGGTTACATGGTATCAAGCTGCCAATATTTTTCAACAACTGGACATAATTTTATTCATTTTCAACAATGTTTTGATGGATATTTCAATTGGAAATCTCTGGAGGGACCAAAAAATGTCTGTCCACCAATGTTCACCATCCAACCTGACAGAACTGGAGAGGATCTGCAAGGAGAAATAGCAGAAGATCCCAAATCCAGGTGTAGGAAACTTGTTGCATCTTTACCAAGAAGACTCATGGCTGTATTAGCTCAAAAAGGTGCTTCAACTAAATACTGAGCAAAGGGCCTGAGTACTTAGGACCATGTGATATTTCAGTTTTCCATTATTAATATACCAGCAGAAATTTTTAAAATGTTTTTTTGTTAATATGGGGTGCTGTGTGTACATTAATCAGGTAAAAAATGAATTTAATTGATTTTAGCAAATGGCTGCAGTAGAAGTGTGATATAAGAGTGAAAAATTGACAGGGGTCTGAATGCTTTCTGTACCCATTGCCGGTCAGAAGTGAGCATTTGTGAGCAGCAGAACAGTTTGACACCAAGAAAGAGTTCTACAGATGCTACTTTTGCTTTAAAGTGCAAGTCACCCCCTAATAAGCTTTTTTTTGCTGACTAAATAAACGAGTGTCTAATCGTGCTGCAGACACGTGTAGTCAATAATTTGGCACTTCAGTGCATCTTAGTTAAAATTTAAATATTCTGCCTAAAACTGGCAGTGTTGTGCCGTTGTCAGGTAAAAACTCTGCACTGTATTTTAATTTAAATCCGCCACCGCTATTGGCTAAGAGGTATGCTATGATGTAAACTGGTACATTATGATGTCACAGTGCTGTCCTGAGCCTGTGGCTGTGTCTCAATTCAGGGTCTGCATCCTACGTCGGCCGGTTACGTCACAGTGCCGCGACCACGCCTGTCCCAATTTGAAGACTCCTTCAAATGCGGTTGACGAATTCGGCCTTCTTTTTGCCTGTATGAAGGATGGGTCCAGTGTATCCTTCAATGGTTCACATTTCCCAAGATGCCTTGCGGGCCGAACGGTAGAACTTTTAAAAACAATGGCGGACAGTGAAGCGGGAGCTGTTGGAGAGGATTGCTCATATAAATGTCAGTATAAACTTGAAAACTGTTAGGTTAAGGACTTTTTGTGATAAATGAACGTTATTTTAGTTAGAAATGTTACATTGAAAGTGCTTGTATTGCGGTCTCGGCTCGTATGTTCGGCCGCTCTGTGTCGTACTTCTCCCGCTATGTTTTCCCCCTGATTTTAAATAGAAGTTTGTATTTTAGGGACAAGAGACTAAACCAGGGAGTTTATTAAGCTTAGGGCGGAGATGGACCACATGTTCACCGGAGCTAAGTATTCGGCGGCTGTGGCTTTGAGGTACAATAACAACATCTCATCTTTTAAAAACTTTCGTTTGAGTTTGATTTTTTCTGCGAAAACATGAAAGGAACAAACCGTTGTCCTCTTCTATCTTTTCTCTTCCTGTTTTTTTTCTTACATGTTAGGACTATTCTGGAGAAAATGGCCATCCAGGGAAAGGTGACCCCCATCCAGGCAAAAAAAAAATAATAATAAAGGGATAATTTAAAGAAAAAATATAAAGTATGTAGATGTGTGTGGAAAAATATAACATGAATACATGCTAAATCTAAAAAGGTTAAACAGGTTTGTAGTTATTTGTGTAAACTGACTTTTTTTTATTATCTAGGATTGCAAGTATCCAGGGTCAGGAGAGGGGGTTAGTGGGAAGCCCACTGCTGCTACCTGGCCCTGGTTTGACCGCATGGATGAGGTATTAGGACAGAGACCCTCAACCAGTCCGCCTGTCCTAATTGCCTCTATCCGTGAGGACACTCCAGGGCCAAGTACAGCAGTGGAGGAAAGGGAGGAGAGTGAGGATGAAGATGCTCAGCCAGGAGGAAGTCAGCCAGGTGGAAGAAAAAGGAGAAGGGACAGCGATGACCAGCTTCTGGAGCTGATCAGGGAGGACTTGAGGCTGCAGAGGGAGGCAGAGCAGCAGACGGCACAGGAGAGAAGGGAGAATTTTGACAGGCTTTTTAGTTTGCTCGAAAAAATGATTAATAAAGATTAAACATGTATATATAATAAAAATATCTATATAAAATCAGTTCTGTATTAAATAGTTGAATTTTATTTTTGTTTTAATATTACACAGGGTATCCGCTGGGTCTTGAAAAGTCTTAAAAGGTGATAAATCGGTTTTGGTCAAATTAAGACCATTAGAAAGTATTAAAAACTATTATCACATCTATGCTCAGGCTCAGCTTTGCGAACTATTTTCTCTGAATTAGCTCTCCAACAGTCCCAAAAACATTATTTAAGTGTGTGATTTTGATCATTTTAATAATAAAAACAAACAAACATAAAATTTAGCCTATTGTGGGTGCATTTGAATAGCCTCTAAAAGCACCACAGTGGACTGTTGGTTAACTATTTAAGTTAAAAGTACCGGTATCACTCATGTAAATGTTGACAACAGGGAGCTGCAGTGACACATTAAAAATATTGAGAATGTCTTGAAACAGTATTAAAATGAACTTCAAGATTCTTTTCTGTAACCTGTAATGTTTTAAAGTATTAAACAAAAAATATAATTGAGAAAATAATGGAGAAATGGATCAAACTTAATACTTTTATTTACAACAATTTTGTTTGAACATGGTTGAACATATATACACAAAATCATGAAGGGAAACATACAAAATAAGAGAAATATCTGACAAAGAAAAATAAAATGCATATTTGGTGCAGGATTAACCTGAGTGTCCTGTTCCAAGACCGTTTCAACAACTTTGAAGCAGGAAGTCCCTAACAGGGCTGCTGGATCTGAATGTCATGGATGGAGTGCTGGAGCTGAGACCGTGGCTGCTCTTTTCTGGTTGACAAGTGAAGCATCCTACTGGGTGGTCTGCAGAAAGAGCTTCAAGATGCGTCTTGACTGTCCACTGCATAGTCCATCGGTTTGCAGGGCTGGCTGTCGACGGCTGCTACATGACCAAGACTGAAACATAAATAGACAAATAGGAGATAATAAATACAAAATCTGCATACTATTGGTGAAATGTTAGACTATTTGAAAACAGTAAATTCATTCATTTGTTACCTGTTAACAGTAGTCATGATCCAGTGGAACCTCCTCCAGGGCAGACACCTCACAGCACAGCTGGTCCCGCCAGCGTGCACCACTGACATCCTCCAAACCAGCCTCCCCCTCATCATCTCCACCGTCCTCCTCAGGCTCATCCTCCGCCACCACAAAGTCTCCAGCACTGAGGCAGATGATGTGGAGGATGGCACAAGCAGTAACAACCTGTAATACATAAATTGATTAATTGAAATATATTTCAAAGAAATGAGAAAAGCCACATTTCGTACACTTACGTGAGGCACAAAGGTGGGGTGGACCTCCAGCACTTGCAGGAAGATGGCTCTGAACCTGGTTTTCATCATTCCAAGGCACGCTCTATCACAGAGCGTGCCTTGGAATGATGGCTGTTTTAAGCGCTGGGCAGCCACACCTTGATTCCCACGTTTGTAGGGAGTGATGAGTGGGAGTGGGCTTTGCAGGCAGGGGTACCCACCATCTGCGAGGATGAAGTGCCCTGGAGGAGGGAAGACTGACTGCCTGCACAGCGGGCTGTGGCGGAGCACCCTGGAGTCATGCACCGACCCTGGCCAGCCCATGTACGTTTCAATGAAGCGGCCCTGATGGTCACACACAGCCTGCAGGATGATAAAGGGGAACAGTTTCCTGTTCCTGTAGCAGTGACCATCAGGGCCGCTTGGAGGCTTGATTCCTGATGTGGCAGCCGTCGATGGCACCTGCAGCTTTAAAAAAAAGCTCTATGCCGTGCCAGCCCTGCAAACCCCTGGAACACCACCTTCAGGTCTTCAGGGGTTTTTGGAAGGTGGATGACCTGGTGGCGAATGGCCACAACCTCCTCCGTGACTCTGTGGACGATGCGGTGGACAGTCGAACGAGGTATCCCGAATGCTCTGGAGACCACCCTGTAAGATGCTCCGCTTGCCAGCCAGAAAAGAACCACCAGGGTCTCAATTGTGGCACTCCGACCATGACGCCGATATTGGTTCAGCAGATTCAGCAGCACTGAAAGAGACTCCCTGCTCAAACGAAAGTCTGGTCTCGGATCTTGCTGGTTGAAGAAACGGTCCAGGACTGGGACACCCAGGTTAATCCTGCAGTATCTGGGTCTAGTCTGGTTAAAGAGAAATACAGAAAAACTAAAGTTTTATTTCAAAGCTTTAATTTCAAGTTTTTATAAAACATAACATCATTCTCAATGTAAATGTGATAATATTGTGCATTTTTATGCTATTCTTTCAAATTTCTAAAAACGTAACTTTTGAAGAATGTATGCAATGAAGGCCAAAAGATCAATTTTCTGTAATTAAGTTTTGTAAGTCATATAACAAGTTCTTATTTTTGTCCACTAGATGTCCCTCTACAGGTAATTGATGGTTCCATGTAATGTGCTCTTTCTCTAACAGTTATTTGTTATTTAATGATATCCATATTTTTTAATTGTTTTTTTTTTTATTTAAGCCATTTTCACATTTTTTTCTTCTTACTTGAGTAACTCTTTTGGTGGGAAGATTTTTTAGTTGAGTAAGTACTGTATAAAAGATTTGAAGTTGTAGTTTATATTTGAGTATAGGTTTTGAATTTAATACGGAGTCCGTTTACAACCTGTAAAAAGTTGCTAAAACTATCCATTAAACTAGCTATAGCCGATAGGTAAAGCCTACTTAATAGACATTACTTTACCTGTTCATTGTTGCGTCTCAGCCTGAGCAATAGAAAATGCCTTCGAGGGCGATACATGTCTTCTAACTCCTCCAGAACCAAGGAAATTATTAAAAAGCTCAACAAAACTTCCAGCTCCATCATTTGAAGTTCCTTCTCCCTTCTGCTCAGCGGTTCCACGGTTGCTAGGCGACGGAACGTTCCCAGAGGGAGAGGCGGGAATTCATGAAGGCTAGGCCTGTCCAAATTCACAGCCGTTGACATCCGGTCTACCCGGCCGACGGAGGACCCAGCTCGGGCGAGTAGGCTGGGTCCTTCGAAGGATGCAGACCCTGAATTGAGACACAGCCTGTGTGTGTGTGTGTGTATTTGTTAGCGGCTCCGCCTTCTCGGTCTGCCAGGCAACAGCATTTGTTGCATTTTTCAAACATGAAGTGGGAGTGGAGTTAGACTCTGGTAGGGGTTGACTTGCTCTTTAATGGTTTATTCTTTTTCATTTAAAAAATGCATCCAACACACTTACCTCAAATTTGAGAAAGACAGACGTCTTGCTCAGACATCAATTCTGATTACTTCAAAGCCAAACAGGACATGGAAAAATAGAGAAACACAAATATTTCAGAAACAGACATTTTAGTTATTTAAAATAACAGTTTGATTATAAATGCATTGCACCTTGTTAGGGTTCTGCAACCCCCCAAGGGGCTTGACAACACAATCAGTCATTCACCCATTCACACACTGGTGGGGATGAGCTGTATTGTGGCCACAGCTGCCCTAGGGTGCAGTGACAGAGGCGAGGTTGCTGAGCACAGGCGCCACCGGTCCCTCCAACCACCACCAGCAGGAAAGGAGGGTTAAGTGTCTTGCTCAAGGACACATCAGCAGTATCCTCTGCCACGATCGATCCAACAACCTTCCAATTACTGGACACCAGCTCTACCTCCTGAGCTACTGCTGCCTCTAACATGTTTTCTCATCATTTCAACAAATCCACAAATCTCATGCAGTGGTGCCCCCAAGAGGTGGCCAGTGCCACCCCTGGCCACACCAGAAGAGACCAATGTTCTTTAATGAATCTTCTTAATGTTCACACAAACTATTAATGTATTATTATTTAATCAGACATAAATGTAAAACCCAATAAAAGTGTCAAATTAAAGAGTAAATAAATGATCAGTATTTACATTTCTCGTGCTCACCATTCTCAAAGTTCAAATCTCTATAGATTGTGTGGACGCTTTTGTGAAGTCAGCAAATAAAGTGTTTAAAAATTCTGCAATACATTTTAAAATAACATTCTAAATAAGTTTGAAATGTCTGCTCCTGAAAAATGTGGGTTCTTCAAATCTGAAGTAAGCATGTTGGATGCAAATTGTTTTTTTAATGAATGCAATGCATCGCCACAGGCTTGTCTCAGAGTTACCACACCGACCAATCTGGTGCGCCACCCCCAAAATTTTCTTTAGCCCCATCTGGCCACCTCTATGAAAATTATCTGGGGGGCACCACCGGACACAGTAAGTGCCGTTCGACACTGCCATTGTCACAAACTGAGCTTGCTGTCTCTCCTGAGACATGCATCATCCCTCAGTTTATCACAGGCTGTATGTTGAAACTTCTAAAAATGGTTCTTTGGAAATCTCCCACTGCTATGAAAGTATTTCTGAAAAAGTGGTTAAAACTTAAAAACAGCTGATGCTGCATTTTCAAGGTAAAATATTGCTGAAGTTTAGTTTTTTATGTTTATTTCAGGTAAAATAAAATTTCCTGTTCAGTCAGTTTAGTGTGTGTGACTGAGCTGAATGGAGGTGTAACGGAATGAAATGACTGACATTCTCCCCCTCTCCTCTGACACAGAACTAGTCTGCATGAGATATGGCCTCAAGGTCTCATGCATTTGCTCTAAACAGCTTCCTTTCCAGCTCAAGAGAAGAATGAAGAAAGGACTCTCTCCTTTTAATAAATCAAAGAACTCTATTTTTAATAAAGCTAATCAAACAAAGTGTTAGTAAAAAATAAGATGTGACCAATCTGTGAAATCAAAATATTAGTTACTTTATTATAATCCTATAGAATATAATAAGTAATATGACTTTAAATGTTTCCACTAGGACTGATCTCACGTAGCGTTAAGAGACGACACATTGCTTTTACTGATCCAATCAGAATCTGCCAGATCTGACGGAGGCGTGGTTTTGGTGGTGCTTGGTAAATCTGTCATCTTTTCATTCGACCATAAACCAAAACATCCGAAGTATAAAACTATGCACACGTCATCTTTAACGCCAGTTCAAAGGGTTCTAGAGAAGTTGTCGGAGTGGCCAATCCGTAACTTTCCTCTTCAGCCAAAAGAACCAACGACAAGCTGGATAAAATCTGTTGCCGTTCCACCTGCTGCAACGGTTCCTTTCAGAATAACAGCTGAACCAACACGACCCCTTTTTGGGTCTCGCTAGATGCTGATAAACTGTCGTGACCCGGAAGTATCTCAAGACTGGTGGTCGGCTGCCGCGGCTGCTTCCACAGGCTTCGGCTCCATAAAGGTCAAGCTGGACCTCTACACCTCCTGATCTAGATGGGGACTTCCGCTAAGGGTGCGTAGACCGATGGAATGGCTTCGAATGTGTTTATGAATCTCCTAATCAAAGCTTAGCGCGAAGACATCACCTTCACTTCCCACCAGAACTAATCGTTTCTTCGGATTTGCTGGTTCCGAGCAACATTCCACACAACACAATTCTCCGTCTCATTCACTTTAGTTACACCATACATTTAGTGTTTAAGTTAGTCTAGTTTTAATTTGTTTAGTAATAAATTTTTAAACTTTTAAAACTTGACTCTCTCTTCTGTTGTCTCTGAATTAATACGAAGCTGTTATCTAATCCCTGCAATAAAAAGTTCCAATCTTCTGGTTAAACAGTACCCACAGATCCATAAGGTCGATTTCATATTTACTATGGAATCTTTGTCTTATGGCTTGTTAAATAAACATGTAAATTAAACCATTACAGAGGTAAATGTTCACGATGAAACAACACTTAAATAAATGAGTTTATTTTTCTTTGTAAGTAAAAATAAGTAACCGGTACCATCTTCAAGAACAGAAAACAAACTTCAGCCTTTACTGGCTGTAAACAGATTTACATACTGGAGCCAGTTTAAAACAAAAAACAAGTGCAAAATGTGTTTCCACATTTAGAATTTCAACCAAATCAGAGAACTGACAGGATTCAGCAGATTCATGCTGCTGGAGAACAGAGACCTGCAAACTTTTACTGGGAGGGCAGCCAGCTCCTCTCCTACCAAACGCCAACAGTCTGTCACCTCCAGAGTTCAGGCAGCTCTAAATCAGCACTCCAGACTCGTGGCCTTCCTGCTCGCTGCTGTGGGGGCTCTGACGTCTGCAGCAGCTCTCATACCAGTGTGAAGAAGCGTCTGAGGCTGGAGGTTCTCAGTCATTGGCCGTCAGCCCAAAGAGCTCCAGCAGCTCCTTGTTGTCCGCGTCGATGAGATCAGCTGGCTTCTCCCCGCAGTTGTTCTCCAGTTCTGGGTCGGCGCCCAGTGACAGGAGGTAGCTACGGTGGACAAAACACTTCAGCTTAGGGAAAGAGCTCAAACAGTATCAGACTGCTTATTTTTATACTTAACAATGAGTGGACAACTGCAGCGTTGCTGTATTGTGATATTATCAGTATAGTGGGTAATGTATCATATCATGATCACTATCGAGCCCTCAGGGAGGTCAAGAACGTTCATGTCAGGCAGCTGTGTTCACCGATTTACAAAGCTGATCCCTGCTCACCGTGCGATGTGTGGAAATCCGTCACTGCAGGCCATGTGCAGCGGGGTCCACCCCTCCTCGTCTCTCTGGTGGATATCTGCTCCGTAGTGGACCAGCAGCTTCACACACTCCAGGTTCCCAGACAGCACAGCTTCATGGATGGCTGCCATGCCTTGCATAGAATAAAAATAAGTTTTATCATTCAGTATTTGATAACAAAGAGTTCAAATGCATGACTGAGACTCACCAGAGAGGTAAATTGTGTCTAGTTTGACTCTTCTGGCTCGAATGAAACGTCCAATTCTTTCCAGTTCCCCGTGTCGGACGTAGTCTTGGAAAACAATGTCGTTGGGGAAGTGGACGCTCCGGGCTGGCTTCAGAGAGGTTGCACCTTTGCAAGTGACAGGGACGCTGCAGTTCTGGGCGTTAGCTGTGATCCTCATGGACCAAGACACGGGACATTTGTAGTACTTCATCTTGGACCTTGGTTTGCAAAAGCTCCTTGGAAGAATGAAAGGTCAGCCCTTGTCAGAGTGGTTCTCCGGCTTGAATCAACTCGCTCCTTTGAACGTCTCAGTTTCCTTCTGGTCTTTTATACTCTGCTGGCCTATTTTAGGAGCTCACGGATTCAGTGGTGAGTAAGCACTCAGGTCCAGAACCCTCCCACTGACCGGTCACAAGCCTCTGAAACATCTCCAGACATAACAGCCCCCTGTATCTGTGTCAACAGCACGTTTCTAGATGTTGACCACTTGCTGGAGACTTCCCTGGTGGAGGAGGAGGAGGAGGCTTCTAGTAAACACCAGGCAAAATGAAGGTGGGTTTACAACAGAAGGGTTGATCAGACTGTGTCTTCCTCATCATGCACTCATTCATCATGAAGTAAAACAGCAGCTGTTTATTCATCCTTTTCATCCAAACCTTTGTGTTTTAATTACAGTTTAGGACGACTGGTTTCTGTTTTTCCACCATGAATTTTAAAGTTATTCCAAATCTGCCACATACCTCCTGAACCGCCGCACAAATTTGAACAAAACTTTCAGAAACTAATCACAACATGGTACGGCAACAACTGAATAAGGATGGGAAACAATCCGATGGTAGACATGACTGCCACGGCTGACTCGCATTAGCAAACACATTAGCTGATCTATTTCACAAATATTGAGCTAAAATCTCGTGAGTCAGGAGCTGAGAGTCATCAACACCTCCAGAAGCATCAGATTACATGTGATCTTTATTTAACTTGGTCACTAATTATTAAACTGTTCGCTAGTACATCTCATGATCCACAGGGCAAACTCCTGCAAACAATCAGTAGATGCAAATAAACAGATTCAATTTTGGACTTTATGTCAAGAAGGCCACGACTAAGCAAACACTAAAACGGACAAGTGTATTTTTTTATCTCAACATAATATTTCTGTTTAAAACATGGATGTCATAAGGCCTATTTTAGATGGTCTTCAGCACCCCCAAAAGATCCAAGCCCTTCTCCAAACCTAATTATACGATTTAAATGAAAGATCTATACAAATTTCCTACAAAAGCACGAGTACATGAAGCACCAGTAAGCACTACAACTAAAAACAAGACAACAAATTTTAACATAAAAATAAAATGTACTGGCTGTTAAAGGAAGACTAGGTAGTTTAGGCTTGCTTTTAGCGCCCCCTAGTGTCTGTTTAGTAGAACCGAAAGCAAAATTGAATCTGACAGCTGAAATGTTTCCCCAGCCTTCATCAGTGTCTGCTGGAGCGATTCAACTAAATCAAACAAATCAGCTGTTCATGACCTAAAACAACCAGGAAATGAGCTGGAAGCAGACTGCAGTGCCAGGTATGTCAGCTCCATTTTTCTATTTTGTCCAACAGACCGGACCAGTGTTATGTCGATACGAGTCCCCCCATCGAGATCTGTGTTTTTCCACCCTCACCCTCACCCTCACCGTCCCATCACCAAAAATGCATGTTTTGCATAATTATAATTTATATTAACATGACTTTTATGTTTGCTTTAGGGTTAGGGGTTAGGGTAAGGGTTATTTTTTGTGAATGGATGGTTCCAACTCGCAGCTGGGTAGAAAAGACAGATCTTAACAGCGGGACTCATATCGACATAACACTGACACTCTGATGTTGCAAATGCGGTATTCTGGCCACAGGAGGCGGTGGGGGTCTGAGCGACATTTCATTAACCCTGTAAAGGGACATTTTAGCACATACTGGCTCAAGAAAATAATTTAAAAATATGAAAAAGCTGCATAGTATCTCTTTAAAGCTGCTTTAGCAAATTTACAGAACAAGCTAGGTTTTGAACACAAACACAGTCATGGAACACTCACCCCTCCCCTCAGGTATCATCGCTGAGACGCTTCTGTCTGCACCGTACATCTGCAATCGAGAGGAAACTAGAAAGCGCTAAACATCGTAGTCGCTTTCTATGTCCAAATGTTTTGTTGTCTGTGATCTTAAATGGTGTCTCTAGTAGCAGCCGACTGTTTTTCCTTCTTGGATATTGTTTGGAGAACGTCACATCAGAGGTGTTCTGTTGCTAAATACTCGAGGGTGTAATGAATGGAGGACCCAGGGAAGTGCAGCGGTTCAGCCAGAACAACATTCAGGTCTAATAGCTGCTTTAGATGTTTTTAGACAAATGAGAACAACTTCAATATTTTTTTTTAATCTCCACAATATATTTATAGCTATACTATCTTGGAACGTTATGAGACATATCCATCCATCCAGAGCCGGGCTGGCAGCCTAAGAGGCCCAGACGTCCCTCTCCCCAGACACTTGGGCTAGCTCTTCTGGGTGAATCTCAAGGTTCCCTGGCCAGCCGAGAAACATAGTCCCCCCCAGCGTGTTTTGGGTCATCCCTTGGATCTCCTGCCAGTTGGACTTGCCCAGAAAACCTCACCAGGGAGGCATCCTGACCAGATGCTCAAGCCACCTCAACGGGCTACCCTCGATGTGGAGGAGCAGTGGGTCTACTCTGAGCCTCTGCCAGATGACAGAATCTCACCCCCTCTCTAAGGGAGAACCCAGCCATCCTGCGGAGAAAAATAATTGTGGCTGCTTTCATCTGAAAACTCGTTTGGTCACTACCCAAAGCTCATGACCATAGGTAAGGGTAGGAACATAGATGGACCAGTAAATCAAGTACTTTGCCTTACAGCTCAGCTCTCTTCACCACAACAGACCGGTACAACGCCCACATCAGTGCAGACGCAGCACCAATCCGCCTTCCAATCTCACGCTCCATCTTTGCCTCACTCGTGAACAAGACCAAGATGCTTAAACTCCTCCAGTTGAGGCAGGAGCTCATCCCTGATCCGGAGAAGGCATTCTACCCTTTACAGATCATTTAAAAGAATAATTAAATAACTGTTGATAGTTTGTTTTACAAATTTGTCATCGTAGCTTTCAAGTCGTTTAGGCTCGTCTAAAAACTCCGTACTCAGTTCTTGCCAGTTCCTTCCTACAATCCTGGGAAGGAACGGCCCAGTTCTAGTGTTTATTCTTCCAATTACATTTCCTCTGACGTTTAGACAGAAAAGCCATTCGTTTTAATTTTTTTATGATATAAATGTGGTTTAATTAATGCAAAATTTAAAGAGTCATTTGGATGTTTGGACCATCGGTTTGGACAAAAGCGGCTGAACAAAATATTTTAAATTGTTTTTATTGGCCACCATTTTACATTTCACATCAAATTGAACATGAAGGAATGTTTTGTTAGTTCCCACCACTGATCGACTGACACCTTTTGTCCCGCTCTACAACCAACCCCCCTTTATGCCACACCCACACCCACACCCACACCCACATACACATACACACACACCCACACACATACATACACACACACCCACACACACACACACACACACACACACACACTAAGGGCGCTGGCTAGAGCCAAAACAGGGACACGGGAGGTGACAGTTTTGGGTGAGGGGTGGGGCTGTGCAACTGTTCCCTCCCCACTTCAGATTTAAAACAGACACCAAACCATCTGCTGCAGTAACCACAGTGAATCTCAGATTAGGCATGAACGCAGTGCGACCCATCAAAACTGGCTTTGAAACACCAATCGGGTCAGTGTTCCCGGGGGGGGCCATCTTAGTCCCAACAGTGCCAAATGAACACAGCCGGGCACAAATGATACAATAAAAAAATAATGCAAATCCAAAAATTACAAAAAATAAAAACTTCAATGTGACAAATTAAATAAAAGAGGATTTTAGTCAAAACAAACCACTGACTGTTTCAGAGAAGTCAGTAGCTGAGCTGAAACAAGGTGAAGGGACGTTTTGGGGGAATGGAGATGGTAAAACTAAACACTCCCTTTACTGAAGGAAAGAACTCATCTCATCTACAGATAGGTGGGGGCTCTTTGTGCTACACGGAATAAAACTGCAGTTACGTTAGTGGAAACGGGGTTTTAAAGGAAGGCAAAAATAAAAGGGTAAAGAATGGGCCCCCCCCCCATGTCCCCTGAGAGATCAGTCCTTACAACACCCCCCACAAAAATCACTGGTCCTCTGGTTATTCTTTTTAGGAGGGAACGAACACTAGCCACGCCCCCCCCCCCAACAAGCAAAGAACCAATTTCTTTTTTTAGAGGGGAACAAACAAACTCATCTGCAAAACTAACATTTCAAAATCTGGACCTCAATGCCATGTTTTAAACATTTGGTCTAAAGAAAACAAGGCAAACAGCTGATGTGGAGCCTTGCAGAAGAAGGCATTGATGTCTTTTACAGAAGTGATGCACTGTTCCAAACACAACTCTTCTCCCCCAGGAGGGACAAGACCAGTCCAGCCGGAAACTGGAGGTCGACAAGGTGGTGGTTTGGAAAGCCGCTGATGGCCCGACGTAGAGGCTGTTCAAGGTTAATGTTCACAGGACAGAGAAGGCCCACAGGGAGGTGAAGGTGGTGATGGTGACTGGTTGGAAAAGTTGGGGTGGGTCTCCTCTAGCACGCTCCCCTCCTACAGCGCTTACAACTCGTCGTGTCCATCATCATCGCTTCCGTTTTCCAAATCGGAATCATCATCTACATCTTCCAACTCCTGTAGGAAACAGACGACGATCGCATCAGTTCATCACAGACGGTTTAACTAATCAGTTTCATAAAAACCATGATAAAACCAAAAGTCAGCATTGTTGACATCTAGAAAACGATGGAAAGTTTTGGGGAAAAATGTAAAAAGGCTGTTCACTATGATTTTACATCCTGTGGCGAGCTAACCACTAGTCTGAGTGCAGTCTCTTCTCAGTAGCTCAGTAGCAATATGTAAGAATTCTGCAGTAAAGTATTCTCGAAACAGTCGAACGTCTCAACCATGTTGGAAGGAAGGTTGCATTGAAGTGAAGGTTGTCAGTTTTTATCCTTTAAAAAACAAACAAATGGAAGAAGGACACAATTACTATTTGATCAGTGAGTTTGAGGTTTGTGTGTGTCAGGCGTGCTAATGCTGCAGCGCAGGCATTTGCAATTTTGACACAGGCAGGCAAAAAGCATCAAGAATTCTTTAAACCAAAACCGGTAAAAAGGAGCGACCCTGTAGTTGTACCCAAAACAGCCCACAGCATCTTTTTGTTTTGCTCCAATATCGGGTAAAGAAGGCCAGAAGCTAACATTGAGCTAACAATGCTAACTGAATTAGAAGCAATTACAAACAATGATATTAGAGTGAAATGTTTGTGTGACGTGAATAATGAGTAAATGGTGACATTCCACTTCCTTAATGAGTCATTCAGAACTATGACGGCAAACAGCAAGACTGTAAACCATGCTTTGTGTATCGTCACTGAAATATTGCCTTAAGTGTATTAAGTGTGTTCTACAGTAAAACACCCAGAAGTGCCAACACCAGATTTGACAGTGCACTTATCTACTCATCAACTTAGTGGATGACTCGTCTGCTTGTTATCTAGAATCTTCTGGTGCTGATCCATAACTGGCAACAGCCATGAAACTCACGGAACGGGAGTGAGAAAGTGACTGCAGTAACCAAATATGACCACAGGACGCCATTCTCACATTTTGCACCTTTACATTTTATGCAAATGTAAAGATGGTGTAAAGACTTAGTTATCTATAAATCCAACAGAAAACGTCACCCAGAAGCTGCAGGAAGACAACGAGTTCATGAAATAGCTTTATAGTCATGTTCATATTAAGAGGACTTCGCCTTTCAGCAGATTAAAAATTAAACCAACAAATCTGAAAAGACAGGCTTGTTGTTGCTGGTCTCCTTAAGCTCACCTCCAACTCCAGATGAAAGGATGTTATTGGACAAGAGTAGAGTTGGTGTCATGTTAAAAGTAGGGCTGCAGCTATCGAATATTTTTGTAATCGAGAACTCTATCGAATCTTTTTTTCGATTAATCGAGTACTCTAATAAATTACCCTTTTGTGTTTGTAAACCTTTATATCATACATTGATGAGCCAAGATGGCGCCGAGTATGGCTGCCTCGTCGCGAGCTCCACCAAGTTCCAACATTACACGCTCCATACTGTACATTGATGCCACTGTTTTGCACATACCAACCTCTGTACATTTTACATCTCTTATCTTATCGTTTACTTTATTCATTTGTATACTTAGATTAGCCATTTTTATATTTTACTTGTTTTTACATTACTGTATTTTTGCACAACTCTATTGCTGTGAAGCTCGCACACAAGAATTTCACTCGCATGTACTGTACCAGTGTACCTGCACATGTGACGTGACAATAAAAGTGATTTGATTTGATATCCAATAGCATGTTATAATTATGAAAGACCTCTTAAAATGAGCAAGCAATTGCCAGTTATTCTTCAAGTTTTATTCAAAATTAGTTTGCATAACTTCAGCACTTCAACTTTACTTCACAGTAAACAAATGCCTGTGCAAAAAATAAGTAAACCTGAGCCGATTTTCCCCTCGTGCGAGAATCTGCTAGCCTGCAAGCCAGACAAAAACTAGGAGGATAACGCTGCGAGCGGCTGCGTCCCAAACAGAACCAGAACCGCTCACGGCGCAAACAGCTCGCCGGCTGTTTCCCTATTAACACACGTCCGTTTTAATTTACACACTTTTTTTCTCACTCTAACAAGGATTGCCAAAAGCATGTTTGCTGTGGTTTTGTCAAATTATACTGATCACAAAACATTTATTTACTTTCTTTCGTTTTCCTCCGCCACTCATAAATACCCGTGTCCTCCTGCAGAAACCCCGAAGGACAACAGACATCAATAACAATAAAAAGTCCGACGTGTTGTGTAAAAACTGCTATTTTTTAGCACATTTTAAGTCCGACGTGTTGCTACCAGATGTAAGGTGTGAGCTGAAACTGAGCGCTACAAACGAAAAAGTCGCAGAGTCCGCAGAATATATAGAAAAACAAGCTAAAATGCATTATCTTGTAGAGGCTCCGAGTCCGCTTGCAGAAGTGACATTTACAGGTGCTGCAGCACGGAGGATGGGGTGTTGTGCTAGGCTAAATCCATTTTACTGTATTTATACTGGACTACGTTTCCCACCTTACGACGTGAAAAATGGTTCCACAACTTTGACATTTTCGGTCTTTTTCGCACTCCACCGGGGTTCAAGTTGTCCGCCATGGCTTAAGAGAAAGTTAAGTTATATTCGCTACTCGCGTGTGCATTCAGTCCAGTGGGCATGTGCGTCACTTATTTCGGTCCGGGTGAAACATGACCCCGGGCGATTGCAAAGCCATGAATTAATTAAATATGAATTAAACGAATCCTCGAGGCAGAGAATTTGACTCGAGGATTTTTTGTACTCGAATTATTCGAGGTACTCGAGGAATCGTTTCAGCTCTAGTTAAAAGTCAGATGATGTAAACGTAAGAAAACAGAGCCTTTAAAAAGTTGTTCAGCTACCAGTTGCTATAACACCTTTTCCTGCTGTTTAGTCTGAGGACAATGGTGCACGTGCCGCTTTTATTTAGGCTCAGGTCTCCCCAGTAAATCCCAGTTAGCAGCTGCAACAGCTGCTGGAGGCATTAGAGGCCTGCAGCTGACAGAGCTGTAATTAGACTGGTGAGAAGGGGGCAAGGCATTGTAGAGGAGCAGAAAGCTGTCACTACACAGAAACCTTCCTACTTAAGAGTGAGACGATTAAGTTCATCTGTGCAGAACATTAGCCATCTTTGTTTTAATAAATATATATAATTTCCTCTGAAGTGTTTCTCAACTTTCCAGACCAGATAATAGTTATAGACTTCTATGAGGTTCTGATTTCATCACAGTTCCATAGGTTCAGGTAAACTCACCTCTGTCTCTCCTTCATCATCATCATCTGTTGCTGGGGCACCACCCTCCTTACCACCGCTCTCCAGGAACTTGGTGAAACCCTCCAGCGTTCTCTCTCCATTATAATCAATTACCTGTTGAGAATGAAAAACAGACTCAATTCTCTAGGGACTTGTTTTAAAATCAACCTAAGAGGTATTCATACTAAAACAAGCTTGAATGCATGAGAAAAATCTATTCTCTCCATCTGACATTTAAAAGATTAGCATTGAGGATGTGAACCATAAGCATCAATAATGCTAAACCACTCCTAAAGGTGTCATATTTCCTGCTCTTCCATGTAATGAAACTGAAATGTTAAGGCTCATGGTGCCTTACCACTGAAGGGAAATTTGTTATATTCACTATTCCATTGACATAACAGCAAGGGCCTGGAAACTCACGTGTTAATCTTATTCAGCCACATCCCAGTGACATACTGGCTTCATGAGCCAATAAGAAAAAAGAAAGAAAGAAAGAAATAAAAGACAAAAAATGTAAAAATATGAAGAACTTAAGAAAATTAAAAATATATTTAAAATGAGCACACAAAAAAAAGACAATTGTGATAACAAATGTAAAGAGAGAGTGACTAGGAAAGAGGGAAATCAGTAGATCCTGAGGAAGGTGGAATAGGTGGGGAGAGCAGAATAAGGAGAGTGGTGAAGAAGGTCATACAAAAGCCAGCTTGAACAAGTGAGTCTTCAGCTGCTTTTTGAAGGAGACCACTGAGTCCACTGATCTCAGGCTCAGGGGGAGAGAGTTCAAGAGTCTGGGGGCCACAGCAGCAGATGATCTGTCACCTTTGGTCTTTAGCCTGGTGCTGCACAACCAGTAGGCTTTGATCACTGGACCTCAGGGACCTGCGGGGGTGTAGGGACTAAGAAGATCACCAATGTAAGATGGTGCTTGTCCATGTAAGACCCTATAGACCAGAACCAGGATCTTCAAATGAACCCTGAAGTTGACTGGCAGCCAGTGAAGCTGGAGGAGAAGCGGGGTGATGTGGGTGTGTTTGGAGGACTTGGTCAGAAGCCGAGCACAGGCGTTCTGAACCACCTGTAGACGGTTCAGGGAGGTTCTGCTCAGACACGTGAAAAGAGAGTTACAGTAGTCTAAGCGTGAGGAGATGAAGGTGTGGAGAACTGTCTCAAGTTCAGAGCGGGACAGAATGGGACTCAGCTTAGCAATGTTCCTGAGATGGAAGAAGGAAGAGCGAACAAGAGAACTGACATGAGAATCCAGGGTGAGAGCTGGGTCAAAGGTCACGCCAAGATTCCTGACAGAAGGTTTGGTGTGAGAAGCAAGCCGACCAAGAGAGTCTGTGACTTTGGGAACCAGCTTGTCTGGGGCACCGATGAGGATCTCAGTCTTATCTTCATTCAGCTGAAGAAAGTTCCCAGCCATGCAGGTTTTGATAGAGTCTAAGCAGGTGTGTAACAGCTGCAGCTTAGACATCTCATGGGGCTTAAAGGAGATGTACAGTTGGATGTCATCTGCATAAAGATGGTAGGAGATTCCTTTGAAGGAGCTCAGGATGTGCTGAAGAGGACGAAAATAGAGGAGGAAGAGCAAAGGCCCCAGCACAGAACCTTGTGGGACACCATGGTTAAGAGAGGTGGTGGAGGACCTAAACTTTGAGATGGCCACAGAAAAGGAAAGCTTAGAAAGATTTGAGGAGAACCACTCCAGAGCAGTTCCTGATAGGTAGGCGTACCTGTGGGACTCTCCCTTAATGAAGAAGGATGCCTGAGAGTTCTGAGGTTCTTACCTTGTTTTCCTCTCCTGCGGGGAAGAACTTCAGAGTTGGGAAGCTATGAACTTTAACCGACTCAATCTCGTTGGCTGTGGAGTCCATCTTCGCCACGATAGTGTCGGCGCTGTCCTTGTACTTCTCACCCAGCTGTTCCCAGATGGGAGCCAGCTGTTTACAGTGGCCACACCAAGGAGCATCTAAAACCAGATCAACCAGGGTGTTTAGTTACTAGTAGAAAAGTGGCTTTAGAGCTGATTTCTTCCATAATAAAAGACAAACATTCGCACTCTATGAAGTGCTGCCTTTAATGGACATAACAGTTTTGCCCTCTCAGTCTGTTCAATTACATTCTCACTGCTTCAGTTTTACACCCTGGGTGATTAGTGTGTAACTACTACCTTACGGCCTCGCTTAAATGTGATTATCCAAGAAACAGTCAGGGAATACGGGCCTCCCTCTGTGCACGGCTGGCTGTCAGCTATGTTTAATCATCCAGACATGGAAAATTCCTCCCAAAATAGTGCCCATTTGGACCAGAGTGGGTATAAAAGTTGATCCTGCTGCTAAATTTAACCTCATCTTTTCAGCATCGGTGTCTCACAGCTGGTGGGGGAAGAGGTCAAAGTGCACCAGGAGGTTTGAGAATCTACACCTTTGAGTAACTGAGCTACAGACAAAAATAAAACCAAACGACCTTTCAAGCTGTTGGTGAAAACCTTTAAAACTAAAAAGAGAAAGTTCTTACAGAATTCCACAAAGACGTTCTTTGAGGGATTGAAGGCGACCTCCTCAAAGTTTTTGCCCACCAGGACCTTGACGGGGGTTTTGTCCCAGTCCTCAGGGATGTCCTGGCTCATGAGGTGTGGCTGCAGGACAGAAACCAAAATTTACACAGGAAACACATTTAAAAGGTGCAATAGGCGATGTTGAATACCAAAAAGCCTGACACTCTACAAATTGATGGAAACCAGTGAATGTTTAAAAAAATATATATAAATTTAAAAAACCTCTGAAACGTACAATTGCAGAAAAACCAACGATTGTGATGGTCCATTCTTAACTGGATTCGGATCCATCAAACTTCCTTCTGAACGCCCCTCGCCCCTCTGCACATACCCCTTTTAGTGCATGATTTATACATTCTTGGTTTGGAGCAGCTGGACAGGAAGCGAAGCCAGAGTGGGAATACCGATATTTGCTAGCATAAGAAAACATTTTAAATGTTTAAGTGGCCTGAGTGGAAAAATTATGTGGGGTTTCCAGTGCAATAGCCTGGAGAAAAAGAGACCTTTGAATAGTGTTCTTGCTAAATTTAGCTCACTAAAACGACTATCCAGCATCATCTCTAACTGTTAAATATAAAAACCCTAATTAAACGTCTTGTTTTTCACACTTGGCACAGGAATGTTCAACTGAATCGGATCCAGGTGCGTCTCACCTTTAGTTTGCCTTCAACAAACGCCTTACAGAATTCCGTGATGCTCTCTGCTGTGATGTCGCCGCTCTCTGGTTTGTACTTGGTCATCTCGTCCTCCAGGGTGATGAGGCGGATGGCGGGACACTCCTCTTTCTTCAGGCCGAAGAACTCCAGGATGCGCTGGTTGTCGTCGATGTCGCTGTCGATGAAGATGAACAGGATCTGGACGGGAAGATGAAGACAGCATAAAACTCTTTAATCTGACAGCCAATTAAATCCTGACAGATAAAAAAAAAGTCTTGATCATTTTAATTTATTTTGGTTTGAACATTCCTTCTCTACCATCTCCAGTCCATCTGCAGAAGATGGTATGAAACAAGCACTGATGCCTGAGGTGAACAAACATGAAAGCAGCCATTTTGATTAATCAAAAGGATCTTTTGAGGATTAAATAGTTTACATACCTGGCCCTTGAAGCCCTCAGCAGCTTTTTTAAACTGGTCCATTTTTCCCTGAAAGTCTGAAGCAGCTTTAGGCAGAAACATGAGGATGTGGGACTTGATGTCTCCGCCAAAGATTTTAGGAGCAGTCTGCAAAAGAAAAAAACACGTGGCTTGTAGAGACTCCACTTCAACATTTCCACCGTGCGGCTGGTCAGAAACACCTGGTTACCTGCTCGGTAAACTCGATGACCAGAGGCAGCTGGTTGGACTTGACAAAAGCCAGGAGCTCCTTCTTGGTCAGCTCTCCGTCGAAGGTATTACGGCCTTCATCGAACTGTTGAGGAAGCATAAACACAATAAGACCAACGTTCACATCTAAACAGATTTACTTTAAAATCCTCGGCAGACCAAACCGGCTTTTACTGGACCGCAGGAATAGCTCCGGCGCGTTGCTTCCAAGTGGCCTTTTGGCGCACAATAGTGGAGAGCAGCAACGAAACTCGATATTAATTTTCAGCTGCAGTACACAAGTCCAACAACCCCCTGGTGATTGCAGTAAGCAACACTTTCCTTCGGGTGGGTTTGCCCAAGTGCTGCCCACATTTCAGCGTGTTTACATCAGAGTAGAGTTACCAATGTGAATGTGGGGTCACAATGGCAGCAGGAGGTGAAAGCACCAGTTCCAACATGGAAGACCCTCCAGCACTCAAAGGATGATATATTTAATGCCGTTTCACGCCAGAGCTGCTTGAAAAGTTTGTTACATGACTTCAAACCACTTGATGACTTCATTTCATAATCAAAACTCTGGACTTTGTCTCCATTTGACAAATCACAGAGTGAGATACGGCTCCATTGATAAGCAGAATGAACTTCATGGTCTTTGTGACGAATCGAGTTAGAGAGGAAACGCGTCTTCATAAAAACTAAACCACAATCTTCAGTCATCGACCCAGACTTCGGAATGTGTAATCCACACAGGAAATACAGAACATGTTCCTAAAACAAGGGAAACTGACTTGGAAAGCAGAAGAGCCTAGTTTTGCAGGGATCTGCTCCGTTTTTGTACCTTTATTTTGAGCACAACCTGCTCTGGCATTAGACCTAATCTGAGGTGAATAACAGGATCGACAAAAACCACAATAATAATTCAAAGATTTTCAGATCCATAAACACACCCTTCACACTTAGCCAATGAGGGCCATTCAAAAAAAATGGACCATAACCCAATACAAGACTTGTTTACTCAGCACCTGTAGCCCCACACACAGACTCATTCACTGCATCAGAGCCAAAGGCTGACGAACGTCAACGATGCCGATGACCTCAGTTGGGGCAAAATTAGCCTGACAGAAGATACCAGACGGTCGGCAGCGTCCGCTTACAGAAGGTGTAGAGAAACACAGCGGGGAGCCTTCAGCAGCGCTGCCAAGACCACTTCCACATTTTTGGGTTTTATAAGCAAATACATACAAAAATAATTTAACCAGTTTAACCCATGGAGCACTGGTCAAACTGGCAACTCCATCTATGGGACGACCTGGTCCATGCTAGGGAACGGTTAGGAAGAGACCACATCGAGGTTAATCTGGCAGAAAAACTGTTTCAGTTCGACTCACGATTCCCTTCAAATGAAGCTTCAGCTCAATACACGCCATGTCCAGTAACATTTACAAACGTGACAAGAAATGGCATCACACCAGTAAAACAATACATTACTATTGCACATAGAGCATCTAACATAACTGGAAACTTTTCTAACAAAAACATGTTAAAACACCAAAGGCAGACACATTTACCTGCCTAATCTGATTTACCGTAACTCCACTATGGTTTGTGCAGTCAGAAAAAGTCTACATTTTTGAAAGAGAAGCTGCACTTACAAGTCAGTATAGCGCATTAGGGAAATTTCCTTAAGAGTTGTTTCAAGAGGCCAGCCAATTGCCCCGTCTCTCCCTCTAACACATGAGCGGTGCAGACCGAGATGAAATCACAGCAAACCCTAAAACCTGTGAAAACCCTGGACGTGTTAAAGTTGCAACAGAGCCTGGGTCAGCTTTTACCATCACATGATCGGGCTGTTTTAAATGCCAATCAGAAATTAAGTTGTTCAGCTTTAGTCCACAGGTGCAAATGTGAACAGATGTGATCAAATACAGAAATTAATCATGAGCAACCTTCTTGAAGAGGACGATGCTGTCCTTGGACACTTCAAACTTGGCGAAAACGGCATCGCTGGAGGACATGGCAAAGGGGACATCATCTGTGGCTTCAGCTGCTTTTTCCAAAGCTTTGGCTCCAGCAGATTCAAGATCCTACAAACACAAAAACTGACGTTTAGCCACAACTCCATCCTTCATTACACACGTGGCATCTTGATCACTTCATTATATATAAAAGACACATAGGTAAACTTTACTAGATGTTTGCAGTATTATAAAATATTCCCTTCAAACAACAGATCAGACTCGCACCTTAAAGAACCCGATGACTGCCACCTCATTGTCAGCAATCAGAGCCTCAGCCTCAGTGACCTCGTTCAGGGTAGCGACGGATGGCCCCGTTCGCTTCTTCAGCCAGTTGACGATGTCATCTGCCTGCCTGCCAGCTGCAACCAAACAAAACACAATAGGCTACAACCTTCAGTACGATATCATGGATCACATGGAGGATGTGGGCCTGAACCTCCCTCAGCACCAGATGTTTGACTGATCAGACCCTTTAATGGGGTCAACAGGAAAATGTTTTTTTTTTCCAATTTACTGCCATCAAAAATGGTTGGAACTAACTTTGTAAACTCAGATGATCCTTAATTTTTTACTCAAATTCAAAAACACAGCTGCATCATTACTAAATAATTAAAGAGGCTGATAAAAACGTGTTTGTGCCTTTGCAGTGCAACTCATTCGGACTTAAACATGGGCCCGGCTACAAACCGCACAGGTGATGCAACACAGAGGCAACTTCACTGATGAAACATGTTAATGATGTGATCTGGGATGCAGTCGTGGTCTGAGGCAGAGCATAAAAAGGCGGGTGATTCTAGAAGTAACCCAGGAGTAGTCATTCCCACAAACCTCCTCCCCACCCTCCCCAAACTGAGCCAGGACCAGACAGCAGAGAGGAGGCGACGTGAAGAAATGCACATACAGCTGCTCTGACTATGCTCCAGCATGGGGGGAACGTGCCGACGAGGACCGACCCACTTTTGACCTCATGCGTGCTGATTGGCTGGCACCCTTGTTGCTGCTGAGCAGATCGTATTACTGTAGTGGAGAGTCAGTGGGCCCAGGTCTGGATGTTTGATCAGATTCTGTTTGCAGTCTTTGATAAAATCATCTTTAAAGACAACAATTACTGAATATTACATCATTTCAAGAGAAGATCATGCTGGATCTGGAGGTTCAATTCAGGAAAATCTGTGTGCAAACTAAAACTAAATTTTACTCTTAAGACTGTCCTAGAATATAAAACACAACCAAGTCTTCAGCAGAGAAGCCTCACTCACCAGAGTACTCTTTTGGAGACTCTTTATCTCCTCCCTTGAAGAACTTGATGGTGGGATATCCCCGGACGCCAAACTCTTGGGCAAGCTCAGTCTCCTCGGTTGCGTCCACTTTTCCCAGACGGAGCTCTGATCCCTCTGCCTTCAGGATGCCGGCGGCTTTGGCGTACTCTGGAGCCAGAGCCTTGCAGTGGCCGCACCATGGTGCATCTGTGGAGCACAATCAGAGGTGTTGTGCCTGAAGCAACACATGGAAGCTAGCAGAGTAAAGTGTTGCACTCAAGATTGAGACATCAAAAGTGACACTTCTCCTTTTAAAACAATATAGTGAGTTAGGAGCAACAAAGAAAATATCTAATTAGGAAAAACTCAATTGAAAACTTTCCAGTTCATCTTAATATACAGCATTTAAATCTGTTTTGGATCATAATTCTTGTAATTTTAAGAAAATACTCCATTATTGTTCATAAAATTCCAAGTCTGTTTAAATCTTCAATCTGAGTGTCCAGGTAACCTTTTAATCTTATGCACATTGCAAACAGCTGACAGCCACATCACAAATGACACGTCAATAAAAGTGACCTGCATTACGTCATCCACACCTCTCAGCCAAGAACAAAACTTCCTTGTCCAACAAGTCCACTCAATGCAAACGTGCACCAATGCATGAACTTCTACAAAAGTACACGTCAACCTAGCGCCAGCCCCGGTAGCCCCGGTCCCGCCCAGCAGAGACGCACCGAGGCCTTCCACCCACCCACCCCCCGCTGCGCCCCCACCCACCCCCCACCCCACCTGAATGGTCCAAACATCTGTCACACCAAACGTCAGCAGGTCAATCTGACATAAAAGTGAGTGGCATGGGCCCGCATGGCATGCCAGATGTAACAAAAACTATTTGTTTTACTTTAGTTGTTTCAAAACAAAATACGATCTGAATGAAAACTGACGCTTATTTATTTGTTTATTTATCTGAGCAAAAATGAAAGTTATTACGAGAAACCACAGCAAGCTATTGAAACCACAGCAAGCTATTGAAACCAAGCAGTTACCCCTCACTGGTCTCATTAGTACACAGGGTTTAATTTAAGCACTTTGTTAGCAAAACGCGAAAAATTACGTCCCGGATTATCACGGGTACGAAATTCCCCACAACATCCCAGAGAAGTCCATTTTTGCTCCTGTAAGAGTGAGGCTCGTGTAAGTTGACCGTTAGTGCTAGTCAGTCAAATAAACCAAAACAGACATCCAAAACAAAGAACTTGTCTTTGATGCGTTACAATAAGCAGAAAGACCGAAAGGCCACTCGATAAACGTACAGATGCAGGACTGAACTCGACTTTTGCTAACGGCTATCAGCAGCTACTAAACTCAGCATGTTTTAAGTTTTCCGCCTACACTAAACCCCGTAAACCCGCAGTTGCCGTTAGCTAACATTTCGAGCTACTTACAGAACTCAACCAAGATGTTGGGGTGAGCTTGAAGAGCCTCGTCGAAGTTACTTTTCTTCAGCACCAGAACGTCTTCTTCCTCTGCGATCTCAGCTCTGCTGGCTACAGCCAGTGTGCATAGAAGCAACAACTTAAACATAATCACCGTCGAGTTTTTGAACCGGGACAAGAAGGAATAAGCTGCGCACACGGTCGTTTGCGGATTAGTGGAGAAATTCGTCTCGGTGTGTGTTTTTCCCTTCTTTAGCGGTTGGGATAGTAGCAGGTATTTTGTGTCTACCGCTACTAACGTGGCAGTGCAGGCAGAAACCGGAGGATCGGCTGCAGTGCGCATGCGCCTTTATGAGGCTGAAAGCAGTTCGTGTTGAAATGTGACTGGACCGCTGCGGGATGCACCAGGAAGTGAAAAAGAGGCAGCAGGAACAGGAACGCTCAGCGTGCAAACCTGGTGCAAACATGAAAAATAAAGTGTCACCACAGGAAATCACTGAAACTGGGAGAACAATGTTATCTGCAACCCTAAATAAAAGTTTATTTAGTAAGGCTTGCACTGTGGCAGCTTCTTAACTTCTTTTTTACTCAGTCCTTGATCATAAAGACTCCAAAAATTAATATTATGTATTTGGACAAGCATAAAAGTCACAAATAACAAATTTTGTAACTTAAATCTATAGAATATTCCTCAAAATAAAAGTTTAATGAATATTTTCCTACCTCAAAAGTGAGCGGTTACCAAAGACTGTGATTTTTAAATCTATAAGAGCTCTTTTGATCTACCTTGTTGGTGAAAACGCACATTTCAGTATGTTAGGGTGTTATCTTGGATTATCTATGCTGACCCTACTAGATCAGGGAAGCAGCACAGCCATCAAACTCGTATCATTTGTGCTTTTTCACTTGTGCCTTTGTCTTTGTTTTGCATTAAAACTCATCAGTAATTCTGAAAAGAAAAATAAATGAAAGAAACAGAAATGTGAGAAAAAATGTCAGTTATTTTTCCTTTCTTTCTTTTGTTTAGTGGCCCTAATCTTCCTCCGTACACCTGGAGCATACAGCTTTTCATTTTTGTGGGATGCTCTTTAAACAAAATCATTTGTAACGAAAAGTGCTTCATATATTTCTAGTTACCCGTTTGCTGGTAGAAAATAAACATTTAATCATTGTGATTTTTCCATTGGGAAAACGTCACTGAGTTTTTCACCAAACAAAACCAACATTAGGACCGGTTAAAGTGCTCTCAGGGCTGAACACAGCAGGTAGTTCAATAATAAGCAGGATGGATGCGAGAATGAGGGCAGGGGGAAGGATGAGGATGCTTTAATTCAGCTACGTCTGACCTCATGTTTTCATCAATTTGGATAAAATCTCTGATTAAAGCTTCATGCGTCTCTAATAAAAGCGATTTCTGAGTCAGAGAGACAATGAGACGAAGGTTCACCTTTATACACATTTATTTAAAATAAATAAATGTGGCTGCTATGACTACACTTCCAGCTCAGGCGTCTGGAGTCCTTGAGGTGATCAGAGTGAGGCTTTCAGCTGGGATGTGATGAATGATTTTAATGAACTACAGGAATAAAGACGTCATGGATGAAGTCAGAGGAGTCTTCCACTCTGAACAAGCAGTGTGTCCTAAACACGTACAGTCTCCTGTAAGATAAGATGTGTTATGGACACTATAAGTCAGTCCTAACATTTGCATTGAAAATTTATCTTAGTCACATATTCATATTAGTGCTTTTACACCTGCAGATCACCAGATGAGTACATTGTGAAAGTTTGTGTAACGCCATTACAGTTCATGTTACAGAAACTCGATCATGTTGCAAATAACTGATGCATCTCAGCAGATCCGCTGCAGCTTCTTACTTAACCTGCTTACATGAATAACAGTGACACACCAAAATCTCCTTCCTCTACTTCAGAGTAAACCACACACACTTTAGGTGGTCATTTGTTAGGATCTAACATCCACGTATAAACGACCTTTCATCAAGTTTATTATCTGTTGTTGCGGAATCGAGACATGAATTTAAAAACATTTAGAGGAAAGAAAATTGTTGAGGAGATACTTTTCCTCAAATATGAGACATGAGCAGAAATGACTCTTGATAGCAAAAACTATAAACATGCTCAAAAAGTATCAGTACTCGCAAGGACATCAGTCTGGGCGAATATGGGACGTTTTATCAGAGGAAAGTCCAACTTGACCTGCAGAAAAAGAATGCAAGCAAACTCACACACAAACACACACACAAACACACAAAATACTACAAAACATTTCCGCATATGTGTCGCAAAATCATATTTTCAAACAGAAATAATGCAATCGCACCATGAATGATTGAAAAAATACAGGTGACACTTAAAAAATCTGAATATGGCGCAAAAGTTTATTCATGTCTGTAATTCAGACGGGTTTATTGCCATTTGTGTGAGCATGTTCACAACATTAGGAAACTGCTGCAGTACTTGGTGCAAAAGAAAAATGCACAATAAAATAATAACATAGAGCAACAATAATTAGACCAACGACTACTATGTAGAAGACAGCGTAGGTACTGATCAGAGCAGAACAGTCAGGTGCAAACACAACACAGGGTCAAGTGACTGGAACAAAGTGACTAGTGAGGATGTGTATTCATGAGTCCAACTGCTGAGGGGGAGAAATTGTTCTTGTGGCAAGAGCTTCTGGTCCAAATAGAACCTCCTGCCAGATGGGAGCAAGTCAAAAATGGTAAATGGCCTGAATTTGATATGGCACCTTCTAGAGTCCTGGAGCCCCACAAGGCGCTTTACAATACAATCAGTCGTCCAGCCATTCACACACATTGGTGGCGATGAGCTACATTGTAGTCACAGCTGCCCTGGGACACACTAACAGAGGCGTGCCTGCAGTGCAGGGGTGCCACTGGTCTCTCTGAACACCACCAAGGAGACAGCGACAGACTGAGCGAGGCTTGAACCTGCAACCTGCCGATTATGGGGCGAGCACTTCACTCCTGTGCCACTGTCGCCCAAGACTGTACCATACCATACCACACCACCTTTATTTATATAGCACTTTAAAGCACAGCCATACGGCTGACCAAAGTGCTGAACAGTCGCACAATAATAGAGATTAAAAAAAACTTCAAACAGTACTATAAAATACAGCCAAATATAAAAAAAGACAAGCTGATAAAAAAGTACCAATAAAACCTTACAATGGAAGATAAAATAAGAGTAGTAAAAGCCAGACTGTTAAAAGCAAGGGTAAAATAGTGTGTCTTTAGTCTAGACTTAAAATCTGCCAAGGTGGATGCCAGTCGAACTGTGACTGGAAGTTCGTTCCACAGTTTAGGACCCGCGACAGAGAAAGCTCTTTGTCCACATGATTCGTAACACGCTTTCGGGACCTCGAGGAGCAACAGGCTGGAGGACCTGAGTGTGCCACCGGGAGTATAAATTGAAAGGTCAGATGAGTACACGGGGCAAGACCATGGAGGGATTTGAAAACAAAAAGTAGCATTTTATATTGGACCCTGAAAGTGATGGGCAACCAATGAAGGGATTTGAGAACTGGTGTTATATGCTGGCGCCTGTCAGTACGCGTTAGGAATCCAGCAGCTGCGTTTTGAACGCGTTGAAGTCGGTCAAGGGTTGACTTATTGACACCCAGCAAAACTGCATTTGAGTAGTCGAGCCTAGATGTGATGAAGGCATGCACAACTGATTCCAAAATTTTTCTAGATAAAACAGCTCTTAATCTGGACAGATGGCGGAGTTGGAACAAACAAGATTTTACAGTAGCATTGACCTGGGCGTCCATCCTTAGAGATGACTCCATCTTCACACTCAGGTTTGTCACAACGGTTTTTAGATTTTGAGAAATAGATGAAAGATCTGGGGTTTGGAATGAGCTAGATCTGACCGGATTAAACAGGATCAGTTCCTGTGTCCAGGGTGAGATGGGTCAGCTGTGATCAGACCTGCATCCCTCAACACAAAATCTATAAAAAAATAAAATAAAAACAAAGTCACCCAAAGTTTTAAATGACAAAATATATTGGAGTAACTTAGTGAATTGGTTTATTGGCTGATATTTTAAATGAAACGTGAAGTTTTGTTTTATTTTGTGTTTAAGCATAAATCCTACAAGAATATAATTTTAAAAATCCCTCAAAATCAAATTTTTACTATAAAAACACTTAAAAATCTATTGAAGTCAGATTTGTTTTATATTACTAACTACTGCTACAATAATAATAATCTTAAAATGAAGCAGGAGGATGATGAGCAGAAGGGAAACGAGGAGGTTGACGTCAAGAAGATGAAAAGCATAAGGTGAAGGAGTAATTGAACTGATTGTAAAATAATTAAGCATCTTTTGAAAATAAAGTTTTAAAAAGAACCAGTAATGAAATGTATTTATAATTTCAAAACAAAAGATAATACAACACAAACAGGCTTTATAAAATATATTACAGTAGTCATAAATTAAATGTATCTTTCATTGTTTATCACATTGTTTGGGGGGGGGGGGGGGGGGGGTGAACTAGTGTAGTTTTGTAATTCTCCACAAGGTGGACACATAAAACTAAATATGGTAGAGAAAAAAGTGTGCAATGGCGCCCTCTACTGGCAAACACAAAATATGCTATCAAGATGTGAGAAGTACTTTACAAATACAATAAAATTCCTCGTTTTTGCAGCTTAGAATTATTTCTTAAAATAAATAAAGTATACCATCAAAGAAATCCTCCAGAGAGGAAGCTGCACCATTGAGTCATAAAGCGGCAGTCAGACATCTTGATGTATAAAACCAGCTGTTATTCACCAGACACACTAAAACAGTCATTTTTCCTCAGGTCATATTCTCTTAACAGAAGTTCATGTGCCCCTGAACACATTTTCACCCTGATTTACTAGATGACACCAAAAATCATGAATTCATATGTATTCATGTAAAAACAAGTTTCACTGAGAAACAATTTTTTACTTGTTATTTTTGAAACATGATCAGTCACTCCGAGTTTAACATGCAGGCTAAATGTGAAAATAGTCTTCTACCCCATTTCCTGCATTAGTCATGAATAGGAAATAGGTCGGATTAGAAAAGCCTGACAGGTCTACGTCACACTGAAAACTACCTACTACATTTATAGACTCACCCATCTTGACTCACAACAGGGAAGGCTGTTGTCGGTTTTGCATCCAGGAGAGAGCAGAGCGTGTTGTAGCTAGTAGAAGCTAATGTTAGCATTAGCAGCTCCACAACATGGCAGAACTCCTTCAGGCTTGTGTTGTTTGTGGAGGGAAAACATTGTTGCGGAGCAATTGTTAGCCAAT